ACATTTTCCACTAACTGCTCTGTGATTTCATTCCATTCTGTTTCATCTTCAGAGCTTCGGCAAAATATCCTGACGTAAGTGGCCGAATAATCTGGAAATTTGGGTTTGTCTCCACGAAGCGTAATAGGGATCGTGAGCCTTGCAGGCGCTAAAAGATGAACTGGTTGGGAAGGTGAAATATGAATAATTGGTCCGGCAACTGGTAATTCTTTCCGTTTATAATCACTTCGTGGAACCTCTTGCACCTTCAAATAAAAATGAAATTAGAATTAGAAGAAACTGTTCTGTGTGTAATGTTGCAAAGTCCAAAGCACCTCAACTTCATAAAAAGTTGGTGAGGCATTCGTAAGAGACAATTATTTCTCATAGAATTCGCTGACAAACTGAGGTAAGATCATGTTTATCGGATCCGGCGCGTAGGCTGGTAAATCTGCCGTCACTTTCAGTTAATATGTAAAAATGTTAGAGAATAGTCTGTTAAAAGTGACATAAAAGTACCTTTACAGTGAGAGCGATGGTTTTTCCTGGAGGGAGAGAACCTACAGGGAATGTTACACTCACTCCCGGATGGTCTGACAGAATGCAGGCAAATGAAGATGACAATGTCGAAAGGTTTTGAAACGTGAAAGACTTGAGACGCCAGACAACCGCGAATGAAGAAAAACTCGTAATTTCTGCCTCCGCAAATGGAAATAACCAATCTGGGTATTCTTCCAATCTGGAATGCTCATCTTTGACATCTGAAATGAGTTAGAAGTTGTGGTAACTTTCACGTGGCAATCAACAAACCCTCTACTTTCTCTGTTCCTTCAGCTTCACATTTAGATGTGTAACTTCGATTGTCATATTTTACCTTAACTGGCAGTAATGTCGCAATCTGATTGACTTATTTGCCGTTGTCGAACGCTGCTCGCATCAACATGTTACGCAACGTGTCACGCTCTGAAAGAATCTTTCTATTAAACGTCGACGTTATGCTAAGAAACAAATCGATAGTGGTTAGCGCGGTCTGTACTCTTATCAACAATGATATTCATTATCACAGTGGTCAAAATTTGTTGTGGACCCACGAGGCGCACAACATTATGACCTGTGATGACCGATATCATTGTTGATAAGGTTACAGACCACTAACCACTGTCGATTTATTACTTTGAAGAGGTGAAACATCTGAAGTAGTAGTTGGACGATCGCACAAGATAAAATTGAAAATGAAAATGAGCTACTCTAATCAAATATAAAGTTTGCAAGAAAGTCTCTTGTTATACTGTAAAAGTTTTCGGTGGTTTGGTGCAAAGAGCGAAAGACATGCAGATAACAGAAAGGTGTACCATTTTCAGCCTAAACATAGAGGCACACGAAAGGGTAAGGAAGCTAACCCTTCAACTAAGATACTCCCTCAGGAAAAATATATCTGTTAACACCCACTTTTTAATGCCCACTAGAGCACTTAATGGGACTTGCCCCTCAGTTTTACTTACAGGATAGTTTGAGGATGTGCTGTTTTACTGCCCTTTTTATGAAAGAGGTAAAAAAAAAAAAAAAAGAAAGAATGGTTGTACAAAAACACCATTATATAAATTATCAAAAAATCTTCTACCAGATGGTTTCCAAGCCCATTTGGTTTGCAAGTCTCTCCAATCATTGGTCTTCTCATTGATCAATTCTTTGATTACCAATTCGTATCCTTTGATGTCACTAGCACTGTGGGATAAAGCCAACTTCACTTTCCCATTGAACTTGTAACTTTTCTTTGTACCCGATAGGCTTCCACAAGCTAGTTCTAGCACACTGCTTACCAAGGCCTCATTTCTCCCAAGGGGTGGTGATAGAATGTGTGGATGCCATATCGAACATGTGACCTCTGTAGGTGTTGGAAGAGCTTTGGAAGGGATAATCAGGCACGATGGGACGTTTTGGACCATTTGTATTCCTCCTTCCTTGGAAATCTTGCTTCTGTAAAATGAGAGCTGATGTAAAATAGGCCATTTTCGATATATCAAAACTGTAACATGGCTCAGAGGCTTGGGAGAATATGAAAAAACATATTATTTATTCATCCCCTAACCTTGAAGTGATTTCTTTTGTTTATTTATGTATTTATGTGAACAAACTTTACTCTTTTCCATCATTTCTTCATGGCTTGCTCACAGAAATATTTGTTCTCACTTTGCTAACAAATTCATCAAACATATTTTTTAAGGTTAGGCAATGAGATTGGAGCTACAGTTTACATGGCTATGTTTAGCCAATCAAAGGGCTAGAAATTTAATAAATATGCTCTTTTTTTAAGTATACTTACCTACTTACCATGACCTTGTTATTCCACAATGACTCTTTTCGAGAGGAGGCAATCATGAAAAGAAGAAAAAATTAACCAGTCAAAGTTAAGACAATCCTGTCAAGTGTCAAGATTTGGTCTGAGGTGCTGTATCAGATGAAACCTATCATAGATCCCTTATAACTGAGTTTCACAACAGAAAACAAAAGCCAGGTAATAACAGTAACCCATATGAAGAAAGGAAAAATCACAAGATGCCATTGGGAGTCAATCATACAACAACAAAAGACGATAACATTACAAGGAATCTACATTTCTGCACTCTTGGAGAAAAACCTGCCAACAATACTCTATTGGCAGGTGATCTTCCAGGATATTACTACATGTTATAGTATAGATTCACCACAAGCAAGTTCCTAGGGCTCAGAAGTTTGTAATTGTCCCAAAACTTCACAACATCTACCGGCATATAAATTTAGTTTTTTTGAGTTCCAGATTCTTTTTCACTTTACCTTCTCTTTTCTGACGTTTCACAACTTTAGGTGTTTCTTCCCGTTCTTTTTCAGGATCAGTGGTGAAGATAACAGATGGGCTTGAAGTTCCACCTAAAAGTGCACAGAGCAATATTAGCTTTCAGTGTGTTTCATGTGTCAAACAAAAATGTACCTCAGCAGCCTGGAAGTTGCCATGGAAACTAAACCATGTACAGCCCATCACAACTTAAATCAAAACAACACAGACAACCCAACGTGTGGAATCAATGCTAACCCAAAAGGTCTTGCATGAAGCCCATGAACTCATCACGCTTTTCCTTGCTCTGTAGTGGTGTAGTCTTAAGATAGTTTTTCCAAGCTGATAAAAAGAATTTCTCTCCAAGCACTTGGAGAGATTTTGGATGAGACACACTTCCCTGCATTTCTGGTGCAGCAGATGACTTTTGGAGCTCATCCATTTGGTATTTTTCAGACTCCACGATGGAAGCTGTTGTCTGATTATTGGATTCAGCAGGTTTTTGGTCTTCCACATCAATAGTAATATCCAACTTATCAACTGCTGATTTGTAATAAGAAGTCAAAATTAATCATAACCCTTATAATTTAACATGATGTCAATCTTGAATCTCTAAATGTAATTGTGAAACTCATGAAATATTTTTCAGAGAAAATCCACCAAAAACTACAGCCAGGGAAAGATAACAGTTGAATCTGGTTCCTATGAGGGTTCAACTCCTTTTTTAAGAGAGGAAAGAAGAGATACTCTAGGAACAACAATTGCAATGTCCATTCCAATCCCCAGCCTAATGGGCATTTCTCTCAGGAATCTTTATGTAGTTATTTCCACAAAAATAACACAATTTTTGCATAACCACATGTTCAGCATTTCCAATGCTTTGTAATCAGACCATTTTATTTCCAAGCCTTCAGTAAGAGACTAATTTTCTTTAAGATTTTTTGCCTTCACTGTATTTTACTGGGACTAAGAAAGGAGAGGACAGCAATAGTGGTATCTTTCTCAAACATCTTGTCCTTTCTCTGTTTGATTACTATTTTTTATAGGTACATTCCCATCTTGAAGCAGGATTATCGCTGTAATAAAATAAAAGAGACCATCTCTGTAGTCATCACTACAATCAGATGTGTTCTTTCTATTTCCCAGCAAGACTTGGCAAGGTGAAGTAAGTTTTGAAATTGCACAGGAATAATTAAGTTACCTTTTTTCCAACATCTTAATTTTTTTTAATTTTCTAAAATATCACCCCATTAGTATTGGATGGTAGGTGCAACAGATTAAAGATAGCCACAAAGGAGGGAAAAAATCTCCTCAGCAGCCTGGAAGTTGCCATGGAAACTAAACCATGTACAGCCCATAACAACTTAAATCAAAACAACACAGATGACCCAACATGTGGAATCAATGCTAACCCAAAAGTGGGAGGGAAGGTAAGAAAATAAGGGAAACAAAGCTAGCGAAGTAGCAAGAAAAACCAAGCTAAAGAACATGGCAAAGTTGTTCCTGCAAAACCTCCCTTTGGCCTCGCGACATCCCTGTGGTGAAACCAGTGCATTCGTGACATCTGTACCCCAGGTTTTAGCCTTGCCTTAATTACCTTTAGTCTCATTATTGTTATATAGATTGTAATGACAGCAAAAACACTTAAGTGTTTCAAGGATAGCATGAAGAAAATATTATGACTAGGAGGATGGAAGATAGTGGGAAAAAAGGGTTGCGATCATATCTCAACATTTACAGATAGATACTAGATAGATAGACGTTTACTAAAAAATACCTTAACAGCAGCTGGAAGCTGAATTGCAAAGGTGTACAAATCATGTACTAGAACTATATAATAAAATCAAACCTAAAAGGGAACTAATTTACCTCTACAATTATAATAAATGAACAAAAACTTTGCTCTATTTAAATGAACAATGTGCAGTTTTTCAATAAATTTCCTACATTTCCAGACAGGATAAAGCAACAATATCACATGGAACTAAACTGTAACAAAAATGAAGAACTGAACCTACCATTTGCATTTTTCGCCACTTTCTCAATCATTCCTTTGAATCTCTCACATTCTGCTCTCCAAGAGTACACCTTTCTGTAGTTATCTCTAAGCCGTCTGGCTTTAGCTTCTCTTTCTTCAGCGCCTTCTTCAGACACCTCTCTAATCCTTCGTGCCCATTCATCTGCATCTTCATCCAATTCAACAATAACAGTGTTCCCACCTTCAACTTTTCTCAGAGCCTCAGCTATGCCAGATTCACCAGAAACAAGTATAGGAATACCAGCAGAAATGGCTTCGAGCGCGACAAGCCCAAAGCCTTCGGTACGAGGAGGTAGAGCAACCAAGTCTGACTGATAGAACATCAACTTAAGTTCCTCTGGATCACTGCAATATCCACGGATGGTTAGTTGGTTGCGGCTCACTCCAGTGTTGTCAAGAAACCATTGCTCAACTTGTCGATGTTCACCAGGAGATGAGCCCACAAATGTCAGCTCAAAGTTCCTACCCAGAGGCCCTATGGCATTTGCGACAATATCGTATCCTTTCAGGGAGAGATCCTCAAAGGTAGCTCGGCCGAACATAGACACGTTAAAATGCTTTACTACTGCTCTGTCTACAGCCAACTTCGATTCATTGGAAAACATTCCAAAGATCCCAGGAGTGATAATCTCCACCTTAACATTAAGGAGACTTCTGCTGTACTTCTGTTGTAGACGGGAGCCGACGGCGACGACTGCATCTGCTGCTTTACACAACTCAATTTCCATCTTTTGCTTCTCTTCGTTCTCTTCGATCGTATCTATTATAGCCGGAGGTGTTTTCTTGTATTTCCCAAGGTCCTCACAGAAGACGTGGACGAACTGAATCCATTTACATTTTGCAGCTCGTACAATGTGGCACGCTGGAGTTCCAAGTTTTCTGCCGTGACTAATGATGACATGTGGATGCTGAAGCTCGGGAGGTGGAACTTTTAACCAGTCTAAAGGATCACGCGATCCAGGAACAGCCTCAGCGTTGATTAAATTCACACCATGTTTTTTGGCATCTTCTCTGTCTCGATCATCGCTTTTCGAAACGTAGCAGTAGATTTTCATGCTACCAGTCGTTATTTCTGCCAAATTAATAACAAATTCACGATTGAAAGTTGATAATCCACTCTTCGAAGAT